GGATATTTAATTTTTTAACATTGTATTACACTAAGTAATATATGTATTTATATTACATATCTTTTATATATGTGCATGTGTGTGTATGTGTGTATATTTAAGTTTTTGAGATGCAGTCTTGCTCTTTCACCCAGGCTGGAGTGCAGTGGTGCAATCTCCGCTCATTGCAACCTCCACCTCCTGGGTTTAAGCAATTCTCTCATCTCATTTTCCCAAATAGATGGGACTACAGGTGTGCACTACCAATCCAGGCTAATTTTTTTTCATTTTTGGTAGAGACAGGGTATCACCATATTGGTCAGGCTGCTCTCAAACTCCTGACCTCAGGTGATCCACCTGCCTCAGCTTGCCAAAGTGCTGGAATTGTAAACGTGAGCCAACATACCTGGCCTCTCTTTCTATATATATATATATATATATGTTACATATATAAACATATAACATGTTACATATATAACATGTTTTATATATATAACATGTTATATATGTGTGTATGTTATATATTTTATTTATATATATATATATATATTTTTTTTTTTTTTTGAGACAGAGTCTTGCTCTGTCTTCATGCGCCAGGCTGGGGTACAGTGGCACAATCTAGGCTCACTGCAACCTCCACCTCCTGGGTTCAAGCAACTCTTCTGCCTCAGTCTCCCAAGTAGCAGGATCTACAGGCATACGCCACCACACCCAGCTAATTTTTGTATTTTTTAATAGAGATGGTGTTTCACCATGTTGGCCAGGATTGTCTCGATCTCTTGACCTCATGATCTGCCCACCTCAGCCTCCCAAAGTGCTGGGATTACAGGCATGAGACACCGCGCTCAGTTGCCAATACATATTTTTTAAATGTTTTCTTGTTTTTGGTAGAGATTGCAAAGTAGAGTTAGGTACTTTGAAGCTAGTTCCTGGCTGAGATATGCACATGCTAATATTTTGTCTGTGAATATGTTTCCTTTGGACTGCAGTGCTTGAATAAGCAAGTCAATGGACATATGAAGATAAAAGATGAGGCTGATCTAGAAAGTGCAGACGATGTTCTCTACTGAAATGCTTTGGTTTTCAGTACATGCTTCTCTTATTTTTTAAGTCAAATTAGTTTTAAAATACTAAACTGAAATTTCGGGGGAGACAGAGTCTTGCTCTGTTGCCTAGGCTGGAGAGCAGTGGCATGATCTTGGCTTGCTACAGTCTCCACCTCCCAGGCTCAGGTAATCCTCCCATATCAACCTCCTAAGTAGCTAGGACTACAGGCACACACCACAATGACTAACTCATTTTGGTATTTTTTTTATATGGAGAGATAGGTTCTCATTATGTTGCCGAGGCTTGTCTGGAACTCCAAGCTCAAGCAATCCACCTACCTTGGTTTTGCAAAGGACTAGGATTATAACAGTGAGCCACCAAGTTTGGGTAAACTGCGATTTATTTAAATAAATTGATTAATGCTGGGTTATGGTAGTGCACATTGGTTATCTCAGCACTTTGGGAGGCAGAAGTGAAAGGATGACTTAAGACCAGGAGTTTGGGCCAGGCGCGGTGGCTCACGCCTGTAATCCCAGCACTTTGGGAGGCTGAGGGGTGTGGATCATGAGGTCAAGACATGGTGAAACACTGTCTCTAATAAAATACAAAAAAAAAAAAAAAATAGCTGGGTGTGGTGGCATACACCTGTAGTCCCAGCTACTAAGGAGGCTGAGGCTGGAGATTGCTTGAACCCAGGAGGCAGAGGTTGCAGTGAGCTGAGATCATAAAACTGCATTCCAGCCTGGCGCCTGGTGACAGAGCAAGACTCTGTCTCAAAAAACAAAACAAAACAAAAAAACCCAGGACACCAGGACTTTGTGGCCAGCCTGAGCAATATAGTGAGACCTTGTCTCTACAAAAATAACAATAAAAAAGTAGACTAGCATGGTGGTACACAGTTGTAATTTCAGCTACTCAGGAAGTTCAGGTGGGAAGATGGCTTGAGGTTGGGTGGCTGAGATTGCAGTGAGCCATAATCATGCCATTACATTCCAGCCCTCAGTGACAGAGACCCTGTTTCAAAAGACAAAAAAATTGATAAGTCTTTATGCAATTCATTATAATTTTTTGAATGGAAACTCATACTTGATATTACCTCAGCAGGTGTCCTTGAAAAAGTATCAGAGCCTTTACCTGGACCTGCCAATGGAAAAACAAAACAAAACAAAAAGACAAGTATAGTCAATGTAAAAGAAGGTAAGAATACTATTTTATTTAAAAAGTCATTTGATAGAATTTTTAAAAAATTAGCACTAATATATTCAAATAGCTAAAGAAAATGTTCTATTAAATGTATAATAAGTAAAGGAGAAGTAAAATGGTGATAAGTTGTATATCTAATCAGGGGTCAGCAGCTGAGTCTATTTATTGAGAGTACCACTAAGGGATCTGAATTATTAGTTCCCATTTTGAGATACTCAATCTGAGGAAAATCAGGAAAGAGGGAAGATAAAATGAATAAAAGAAAGAATGAGGAGGGCAGAGTGTACATGGAATAAATGAAACAATATGTGGGTGTATGTAAAGGAGGGTAGTAAAGTCAAATTGAGTTGTAGAAGGAAGAAGCAGGGTGACAGAAATGGGAAAGAAGGTATGTCAGCTTCCAGCACCAAAATGTGTCAGAGAATCAGAGTAACATCTTCCTGCCCTTGCTCTCATTCTCACTGTTAGAGAGGCATTAAGGATTGAGGTACCTCACCACACAGACCTGTGTCTTATTTACCATAGATGAATATCACCATAAATGGTCAGCCATGTATAGGCCATAATTTAGTTTTATGGAAAATGTCATAACTTCATCATATAGTATCATATAGGCCAAATTAACATAATTTAATTGTGTGAAGTGATTTATGGAGAGGTTAGAGAAGGTATAGCCTGATTAAGTGTATTTGAAACATTATGGCTTATAATGCAGAATTAAATTCAGGGACTTAATAGGAAAGAAACTGAGGCTAAGTTCCAGATGGGCAATTAAGGTAAACAAATATGGAAGCACATTAGTGTAGAACAGGGCATCCAAATTTTCATGAATTAGTTGAGGAGCTTCTGGAAAATGGACATTCTCATTCAGCATGTGCAGGGATTCTGCCCTTCTCAGGAGTAGTCAGGTGGTGTTGGTGCTGACAGAGCTCTGAGTAACAAGGAAATAGCATTCCTTAGAGAAATCTGGAAAAAGAACCATTGGACAGCAATTTAAAAAAATAACAGAATCAAGGGAAGGCATTAATCTCCTTTTATTTCTGAAGTAGGATTCTAGTCACAGAGGAAGGAGAATGAGATGAAAACAGAAATTGTTGGTGTATACTACTGCTGAATACAGATGAAAAAAGTGGTTGCAATTATCCATAAAAAGCAATTAGGAAGCCGGGCACGGGCTCATGCCTGTAATTCCAGCAGTTTGGGAGGCCGAGGCGGGTAGATCACGAGGTCAAGAGATCAAGACCATCCTGACCATCCTGGTCAACATGGTGAAAGCCGTCTCTACTAAAAATACAAAAAATTAGCTGGGCATGTTGGCGTGTGCCTTAATTCCAGGCTACTAAGGAGGCTGAGGCAGGAGAATTGCCTGAACCCAGGAGGCGGAGGTTGCGGTGAACCGAGATCGCACCATTACACTCCAGCCTAAATAACAAGAGCGAAACTCTGTCTTGGGAAAAAAAAAAAAAAGCAGTTAGGAAAAGAAGCATCAGGATGACAGATCTAAAGATTACTTTTGCAAAGGAAGAGGGATTGGGAAGGGGCAAGGAAGGGGGAAGAAAAGAAAGTTTGTTGGGGGACTTTGGAGTTAAAACCAAGGAAGCTTGAGACACCTCACTTCCAGTTCCTTGGGCATATTATGCCCAATCTAACAAAAGCAGTTATTGCTGTGGAGAGTACTGGAGGCAGGAGGGAATGCTAGAATTTTAGGGTAACCACAGCAGCTAATTTCTCTTCATAACTGTCAGGCCTCAGACCAAGAAGTTTCATTGACATGAGTGAATAAGATGTGATTAAGTTGCATTTTGGCTAATTTTGGGGGGTTCAGCCAGTTCTTTGATATGATAGCTGTTTTATAAAAGTCATTTACAAAGTAAAATTACATACCAAACTTAGCTAATTTTAGAAGGAGTCATATTATAAAATTCATTCTGTGACTACCAAAATTATCATTTTCTAAGAATACTGCACTGATCTTGAAATATAAACATTTATTCTTTTCTATGAAGACTGTGGCAATTCAATGTTTTCTCTTTTGATAAATATTTTTATACTGAAAGCTTATTCTATATGGTCTATTTGATGTGTTTTAAGTCTTGCACTGAGTGGATCAAGGAACTCAACATCAGACAAGAGGATATGAGAAATGTAGGTGCTTCAGTAGCCATGTGGGCATGGGAAAATGAGAATTTTGAGAAACTGTTATTTCATAAGTGTGTATCATAGCTGATCAATTTAGAACCCTTTCTTTGATGAGAGGTGAATCACACATTCACCTGAACTGGTATCCCAACTGTGTATTTCCTAAGTAACAGGACAAGGGGAAGCACATGATAAATATTTGTGGTATTCTGGCATCAATGCCTCTGATGTTTCAAGTTTAAATACTCTGTAGCATTCACCATCAGCCTTGACATTGATTCTCTGTTATAATTTGCTCCACTGCTTAATGGTCCCTTTTATCCTTATCAGCCCAACATGTTCACATTAATATCCATACTTTTCTATTTTAGTTATAGGCATTTGAAACAATCTCACTTTTGAAAAATAAACTTTGTGATTTAGGGATCCTATATTCCTATTTTACTCAGTACATTTCCATCACGTTGCTGTCCTAGGCAATAAAAAGAAGATGCCAAAAAGAACCCTCAAAACCTTAAGTAATTATTTTCATAGCCAGGCATGAGGACTCAGCCTGATACTAACACTGCATAAATGTTTGGTTGGCCCTGTCATACCTACATATAATTGATGACATGTCCCCTTTGCTTTGTAGGGCCTCCTGAATAACATCCTTCCTTGAAGGTAATTATATATATTTTAATTACTAACTTTGTATTGTATAAAATATATATGATTTATTATTTTCTTAAAAAACCCATTCAGCCTACCACTGAAATGGAAGATCCTGTTGTGAAAGAAGCAGTACAAAGAAAGAATGTACAGACATCGAGAGCAGGTACATTTTCAATATAAATGGAATGCTGGAAATAAGTACATTAAATGATTGGAAGTACTCACATTCTTCTTATTCCTAATTCTTTTTATTCTAAATTGAATGGAAGGCATTCACATAAGCGTTATTGTTGATGTCCATATTTCAATAAAAATAAATTTAGAAGAAAACAAGATTTTAAAAATAGGAGTTTTAACTCAGATGTTTCTATTTTAATATTTTGAATAGTATAACATTTCCAATATGAAATTTTTATACTTGTCAGGGATTCAAAGCAGTGAATTTTGAGACTCTGAGACATTTCCGGTGTCTTACGTGCTAGTTGGAGTTCTGGTATTTACCTAAAGGAATGCTTTACTTAGATGCCAGTTTCTGTCTTAACTTTAGAGAATTCCTGTTAATGTTATTACACTGATGATCTAAAGCCAATGAGATGTTCTAATGAGCAGACTATGTATGCATGTGTGTGTATGGGTGTGTTTGTGACATCTTTGATTATTAAAAACTAGGAAAGTAATCATTCACAACTGGAAGACAGTCTTTTAAAATGGTGGTTTTGAGACTTTTTTGGTATAAAAGTCTTTCAAAAAAATAATTGCATAGAGGTGACCAACGTCATGAACATCATTGAGGCTACCAACATCATTGGCTGTCTTCCATTTCAGTACCCTTTGGAAATCCTTAACTATATTGTGATGCTCAGAAATAATATGCAGAATTTGTGTCTTAAAATGGAAGGTGAGTGGTTCTACACTTTACATATCTTTCTGCCACTTTCTTTTGTGTACTTTGTATTCTATTTTCCAGATGTATCCACATTGATACGATTAGCTCTGGTTTAATTCAGTTTTACACTTTTTATTGTATTCCCTTATACCACTCTACCACATTTAATTACTCTCTCCTGTTGCTGATAAATGAAGAAAGAAAAAAAAGAAAAAGAAAAATAGGCTGGGCGTGGTTCACACCTGTGATCCCAGCACTTTGGAAGGCTGAAGCGGGTGGATCATGAGGTCAGGAGATTGAGACCAACCTGGCCAATATGGTGAAACCCCATCTCTATTAAAATATAAAAAATTAGCTGGGCGTGGTGGCACATGCCTGTAGTCCCAGCTATACGGGAGGCAGAGACACAGAAATCACTTGAACCCGGAGGCAGAAGTTACAGTGAGCCAGAATTGTGGCACTGCACTCCAGTCTGGCGACAGAGCAGACTCTGTCTCAAACAAAAAAAGAAGAGGAAAAGTAATGTCAGATTAAAAGGGGCTTTTGTTTAATCAGTTCATATCTGTGAATATTTACTATATTAGAGTGTAAGGCTGAGAAGTTCAGAATGCAAGCATGCACCAACATGTTTTACAAATGCCTTTAGAATTATGACTCATGAGCCTTTAGCCTGTGAAGTTATGACAATTCATTTCTCTAAAGAACGTTCCTGTTGTCTTAAAAAAAAAAAAAGACTGAAAATAGCAAATGACATTATCTTATTTGACCTCTTGAACATCCTCAAATGAAACTGCAACTTATGTCAAAATTCAGAACCAAAGTTTTGAACAATATATAGAGTTTGTGAATGTCTTGTGATCATGAGCCCTTGTTGACGAAATAGCCTTTCAAGTTTTACTTTTGCATATTTTGATCTTTTTCTAGACTTGTCTTACAAAAGCTTAAATTCAACAGTTTTATTTCTACAGAAAGCAGGAATATAATTTTTAAATATATTTCTGTCCTGTCTCATGGCATTGAGAACTCTTCAGATCTAGTGTGGACCTAGACTTATTTTTACTTGGGAACAATTAGGTTTGTTTCTTTGTTGTTGTTGTTGAGACGGAGTCTTGTTCTGTGATGTGGCTCAGAGTAGATAAGCTCTTAAAGCAGTAATCTCTCCACTGGTTCTTTCTAGGGGGGTGGGGGTAAAATGACAGGTAAATTTGGGCCTTGCTATATGTAGGGCAGAGCACATAGCTACAACTAAGTAAAACACCCAGCACCTTCCCCAAGCGTACTGGCCAGAGTAACACATTAATATCTCTTGAGCTCTTCTCCACTGGCAGCTGGAAAGTTTTTCAAGAATCCCTGTTTCTGAATGTAGTCTCTTAAAATATATGGTATGGTTCTCAGCCTTTTTCCTGTGATGTGAAGTAATACAATGCCTATGTCATGAGATGAAGTAAGGTAATGATGTAGGCATTGTCATGTAGTGTGAGGCCACTATTCACCCCCTGACTCTAAGTCAGAAAAAAGATTATCAGCTTTGAGTGTTCCTGGACCTTCAGGACTTAATGAAGTTGATGACTGGATGCAGGAGACCACCATGTTGATGACTAATGGCTGGACAGCACATGCAGTGTGAATGCACTTGACAAAGAAATGATTCACATCCTGGGACGGATAGAGGGCAGGAATTCAAGATTTTATTGTGCTTCTCAGACTGGCACACTAACACTTATGACTTGTTTATTTCTGGAGTTTTCAATGTAATTTGTTTGGAATACAGTTAACTGTTAGTAGCTGTAACCACACAATTCAAAACTGCAGATGTAAAACCTGTGTTTGGACTTTGACTCATTTCTTGATGTACAATTCTTAAACTCCTTAGACTTTCCAAAGGGATGTCTTTTGGTATGCTAATGATCGATGGCTGGAAGCTCCTAGGTAGATTCAAGATGGGAACTGGTCACCATCCTGAAGACATGACTGATCAGAGGGTTGAGATCTTCTGTCTCACTCTGCAGACTCTGGGGAGGAGAGAAGGGCTGAAGGTTGTCAGTCACAAACAGCCAGTGATTAATTAGTGATGCCTATGTACTGAAGCTTTCATAAAGACCCAAAGGGACTGGGCTTGCAGAGCTTCCAAATCACTGAATACATGGAGGTTCCTGGAGAGTGGTATGTCCTGGGAGGGCATGGAAATCTCTGTGCCACTAGCCCCATACTTTGCACTATGCATTTCTTCATCTGTACCTTTTGTAATATCATTCATAGTATCCTGGTAATAAAAGTGTTGCCCTGAGTACTTTAAGCCATTCCAGGCATTCAATTTAACCCAAAGAGGGAGTCCTGGGAACCCCAATTTGAAGCAGATTGGTCAGAAGTTCTGGAGTTTCAGACTTAGGACTGATGTAGGGAGGCAGTCTCATGGTACTGCGCCCTTTACCTGTGGAATCTGATGCTATCTGCAGACAGTGTGAGAACTGAATTAGATGATACCCAGTTTGTGTTGTCTGCAGAAGTGATTGCTTCTTGTTGGTGGGGAAAACCCCTCCACACATTTGGTCACAGAAGCCTTCTTTGTTGATGATTACTGCTGTGGTGTGAGAACAGAGAAAAACATGGCAAGTGTGTCTTTTCCACATATATAGTGAATAAGGCATACTATTGTTTACTCTGTTTTAACTGCCCCCCTCATATTTTGGTCCAGAAATCATGCTGTTTGACACTGGTCACTCATTCCATCTGTTCTGCTAACAATACCATGTTTAGCCAATTTCATAAGGTTTGGCTAGGATGAGTTGTATACTGCAGTTCACTTGTAGATATCAAATTTTGATAAATTTATTCTTTGCATTTAATAAATACAAAATAAGGGAAGTAAGAGTTCTTACTGCATTAATTACATACCAATAGGTATAATTATATTAATTCTAATAAGGTCCCAGGTATGCTCTCAGATGAATGCTTTGAAACAAAGCATCAGTCCTATACTTTAAAGAAAAATAATGTACACAACTAAATCATGTACACAACTGTGCATACTTTTTTTTTTATGAAGGTAGAGTCTTGCAAGGTTTCCTAAAGCCTCCAATTTCTGGGTTTCTCAAGTGATCCTCCTTCCTCAGCCTCCCAAATAGCTGAAATTACAGGCATGCATCACTGTACTTTCTCATGGTTTTAATATTCTATATATTATTGATTTAAAATGCATTTTATCTTTTTCTTTAAAGATTCTGAGAGTTCTGATGAATCTGCAGTCAGGTAGGATTTTACAGATCTAAAAAATTATGTTAACTAAGAAAATAGAGATGGAAGAAACTAGTTATCTATTGAGTGTTGTATTCTGAGCTAACCACCATATTATGTGCTGTGCATTTATCTCATAAAGCCATCACAACATCTGTGTTCTTATAACCTACTGTTTATTAAATAGGCAATCGTGGTTTAGCGAGGTTGATTAATTGGATCATGATTCACAAAGTAGCTGACCCACAGTTTGACCATCAGGCTATCTGGCTTTCAAATCTTTTCTCTTACTCCTCAGTACAGACTGATAGAGATATCTGTGCAGCACTTTGATCAATGTATAGGTCTGAATAAGATTACTCAGATTTTAATTAATGTCTAAATTAATGAGTTTAAATAAGTTAAACTCTCATTTTAGATTATTGTTAGAAATGAGGTTAGTCCTTGAGTTTGTCCTAATAAATTTGACAATTTTTGTGGTAACCAGCATTTTTTTTTTTTTTTTTAAACCATCAAAGCCTTTAAGGCAGAGTAAAGGTTTGGCCATATGACTGGAAGTTTTACAAAACCAAGATTTGGCAAGTCTTGGAGAGAAATTATTTAACTTCCTAGTTTTGAATTCCTTTTAGGCTAATATTTCTGCCTACTTCCATAAGGCTTTTTTATTTATTTTTTTCTTTTTCCATGACTTTTCTTCCTTGGTGTTTCTTTTATTATGTTTTCAAATTCTGCTGGCTGTGTATTCCCAATTTTCCTATACACAGAACCAAAAGCACATAGAATTACAGATATAAGGAATCTTAGGACTAATTAAAATATCTTCTAGTACTTCAATCTGTGTTGAACGTTCTGGTCAAATGATTTTCCAGATAGAGAACTTGAGACTCAAAAGAGATTAGAATGCTTATTTTTGGACATAAGACATGGTAGAAATGAGATTTGAACTTGTTTTAAAGCCCAATACTCTTGTTTTTTTTATTCCATTGGCAGTTTTTTTGGTTTGTTTTTTGTTGTGGTGGTGGTGGTTTTTTGAGACACAGTTTCACTCCTGTTGCCAGACTGGAGTGCAATAGCACAATCTCGGCTCACCACAACCTTTGCCTCCTGGCTTCGAGCGATTCTCCTGCCTCAGCCTCCTGAGTATCTGGGATTACAAGCACGCACCACCATGCCCAGATAATTTTGTATTTTTTAGTAGAGACGAGGTTTCTCCATGTTGGTCAGGCTGGTCTCGAACTCCTGACCTCAGGTGATCTGCCTGCCTCAGCCTCCCAAAGTGTTGGGATTACAGGTATGAGCCACCATGCCTGGCCTGGCATGTGTTTTAATAATACAAAGTGGGAGTGGGTCTGGTGCACCTAGTGGATAGAATGAGAAGGAAATTAGCTGGTGAACCCAATGGAAATGGCTAAGAATGGAATGAGCAGGGGAAGGCCAAGTTTGAAAAGAAATGACACTGGATACAGATTATTCAATAAGAGATTAGAATATTGGGATTTATGACCAGTCTGATAAATTATAAAGATGAAGGACACAAGATACTGTGAATTAACTACAAAGGTACATTAAAATAGAGGGTTCAAGGAAGGTCCAAACAGATTGCTGTGCTCTTTTTAAATCAAGAACTGACAAACTTGAAGATTTTTGCTGTAAGATGCTAAAACATTTGGAGACACTGGAAGGAGTCTCTACAGCAGACAGAAATGTGGCATCTAATTCCATCCTGACTTACAGAGGGGTGGCTTAGAGCCCCTTGAGTACTAATGGGCTGGAGATTGCTGAACTACATAGATCTGTGGTCCAGGGCAGGTGTCTCCTCATCTCTGCCTCTTTTCCCAAATCACTGATGTCCTTCCCATAGCCATGCAGGCTGGGTCAGTGGCATCAATGGCTGTCAAATCAGTCATGAAGTTCAGCTGGGTAGGTGGAGGTGTGTCTGTGCTGGTAGTTGGTCGAGACTCCAGTTAGGTTGTTATTCAGGAGCAGGGATATAGAGCGCTCCCACTCCTGGTCATTTGAAGCCATCCTTTCAGGAATCTGTGCTTTCATAGACTGAAGATTTGAAGATTATTGGAAACTGCCAGGGAGCCCTGCATAAGTGGAATCTGGAAGTGGGAACCCATAGGAAGAAAAGATATTTAGATAGTACTTAGGGGAACAGAGGTACAACTGCCAGGACTCTGTTCTTCCAGCAATGTTTCTCATTGGATATCTGAGTGCCTATGAAGGTTTTTAAGGGCTTACTAGTTTATGTAGACCTGAATAAGGACCTATAGAGTGAAAATAGCTGGATTTTTTAAATGGTTAATGTTTTAATCTTTCTGGGAAGAGTATCCTCAATAAGAAAATACACCTTTGTTATTAGACTTTTGTACATTTAGCTCTCCCACATTTCAAATACAGCAGAGGATTCTCTGCACTCTTTTAGGACAAAGGAAAGCACTGGGACTTTCTTAAGTGGTTTTCATGCTGAGGAATCAAGACTGCCATTTCGAAGTGACACATATTAGTCTTTTAACCAGAGACAGATAATGGACAAGGGACAGTGGATCTTTTTACCTTGTTTTAGGTCATAAGGTTCCTTCCGGTTTAGGTGACAAAAATTATGTCATCCATTAATTGAATTTCATGTTCTGCTTCAGGACAGATAATTTGTGAGGGTAAATTATTGTCAAGCTCTGCCAATATATTGGCTGTAACTATTTGTTATGGAGCTCAAGGTCAGTTTTTACTGAATATTTTATAGATTTAGACAGCTGGAGGCAGAAATAGGTAACCAAAATCTATTTTTAGAACAGAGGCCATATTTTAATTGTTTCAAGAAATGTTATTTAATATACAGATGGCTGACATCTTTTCCCAGATTGTGTTTTTGTTTTTTGGAGGGGGAAGCTGAATATGAACTGGAAGTTAAAAAAATTAAAAAAAAAAAAAAAAAACTTGCTCATTTTTATTGTATATTTTTGCTCTAAAGCATTTTCCACTGTGTGTGGAGTGGATTCATTCACTAAACCAGATGATGAAGACTCGACTTACTACCGAGGTAAAGTGATCTCTTGCAAAATTTTCTCATTACAGTCAACTTTTGCATAGTATTTACTTTTAAAATTTAGCAGTGGTTTATCTATCATTTTTTCTGTTGGTAATACAAAGTTGGTCAGAGAAAACCATAGACATATGGCTAGTTGATTTAAAAATTTTATTTAATGTTGGTAACTAACAAAATATTGATGTGTACTGCGACAGGGTGTGGGCTGAACAAAAATGAACTGGGAGATACACAGCAACAATCACATTAGGAAATGCTTTAATTAAATATTAATATTTTGACTTTTAAATCATACTAGTGTGACATCTATATTTTTGCCAGTATAAATCTTCAGGATCAAATTACTTGTGGTACTGACGGAATCTCCCTGGCACCTTTTAGTTGAAAAACGGTACCACAAATAGCATATAGATGTTTTTCTTGGACACTTATTATTTGGGTATTATATACCAGGCAGGATTGTACCCCTACTTACATTATTGGTTCTGTAGTGAGAGTGAAATATTAAAAATTGTAGAAAAGGCCGGGCGCGGTGGCTCAAGCCTGTAATCCCAGCACTTTGGGAGGCCGAGGCGGGTGGATCACGAGGTCGAGAGATGGAGACCATCCTGGTCAACATGGTGAAACCCCGTCTCTACTAAAAATACAAAAAACTAGCTGGGCGTGGTGGCGCGTGCCTGTAATCCCAGCTACTTAGGAGGCTGAGGCAGGAGAATTGCCTGAGCCCAGGAGGCGGAGGTTGCGGTGAGCCGAGATCGCGCCATTGCACTCCAGCTTGGGTAACAAGAGTGAAACTCTGTCTCAAAAAAAAAAAAAAAAAAAAAAAAAATTGTAGAAAAAATAGCTGGGGGGTGTTGATATATACCTATTGTCCCAGCTACTTGGGAGTTTGAGGTTGCCTGAGCCCAGGAGTTTGAGAACCACCTGGGCAACATAACAAGGCTGCATCTGATTTATTTATTTTTAATAATTATACTAAGTTCTAGGGTACATATGCATAACGTGCAGGTTTGTTACATAGGTATACACGTACTACGGTGGTTTGCTACATCCATCCCCGTCATCTATATTAGATATTTCTCCTAATGTTATCCTTCCCCAATCCCTCCATCCCCTGCTATCCCTCCCTTACGCCCCTCTCCTCCTGACAGGCCCAGGTGTGTGATGTTCCCCTCCCTGTGTCCGTGTTCTTATTGTTCAACACCCACTTGTAAGTGAGAACAGTGCAGTGTTTGGTTTTCTGTTCTTGTGTCCGTTTTCTGAGAATGATGGTTTCTAGTTAAATCCATGTCCCTGCAAAGGACATGAACTCATCCTTTTTTATGACTGCATAGTATTTCATGGTGTATATGTGCCACATTTACTTTATCCAGTCCATCACTGATGGACATTTGGGTTGGTTCCAAGTCTTTGCTATTGTAAATAGTGCCACAATAAACGTGTGTACATGTGTCTTTATAACTGAATGATTTATGATCCTTTGGGTATATACTCAGTAATGGGATATCTGGGTCAAATGGTATTTCTAGTTCTATACCCTTGAGGAATTGCCACACTGTCTTCCACAGTGGCTAAACTAATTTACACTCCTGCCAACAGTGTAAGTGCATTCCTATTTCTCCACATCCTCTCCAGCATCTGTTGTCCCTGATTTTTTAATGATCGTCATTCTAACTGGCGTAAGATGGTATCTCAATGTGATTTCGATTTGCATTTCTCTAATGACTAGTGATGATGAGCTTTTGTTCATGTTTGTTGGCTGCATAAATGTCTTCTTTTGAGAAACATCTGTTCATATCCTTTGCCCACTTTTTGATGGGGTTGTTTTTTCTTATAAATTTGTTTGACTTCTTTCTAGATTCTGGATATTAGCCCTTTGTCAGATGGGTAGATTGCAAAATTTTTTTCCCATTCTGTTGGTTGCCAGTTTCACTCTAATTATTTCTTTTGCTTTGCAGAAGCTCTTAAGTTTAATTAGATCCCACTTGTCTATTTTGGCTTTTGTTGCCATTGCTTTTGGTGTTTTAGTCATGAAGTTCTTGCCTATGCCTATGTCCTGAATGGTATTCCCTAGATTTTCTTCTAGGGTTTTTATGGTGTTAGGTCTTACGTTTAAATCTTTAAGGCCGGGCGCGGTGGCTCAAGCCTGTAATCCCAGCACTTTGGGAGGCCGAGGCGGGTGGATCATGAGGTCATGAGATTTGAGACCATCCTGGTCAACATGGTGAAACCCCGTCTCTACTAAAAATACAAAAAAAACTAGCTGGGCATGGTGGCGCGTGCCTGTAATCCCAGCTACTCAGGAGGCTGAGGCAGGAGAATTGCCTGAGCCCAGGAGGCGGAGGTTGCAGTGAGCCGAGATCGCGCCATTGCACTCCAGCCTGGGAAACAAGAGTGAAACTCCGTCTCAAAAAAACAAATCTTTAATCCAACTGGAGTTAATTTGTGTAAAAGGTGTAAGGAAGGGATGCAGTTTCACCTTTCTGCAGATGACTAGCCAGTTTTCCCAACACTATTTATTAAACAGGGAATCCTTTCCCCATTGTTTGTTTTTGTCAGGTTTGTCAAATATCAGATGGTTGCAGATGTGTGGCATTACTTCTGAGGCCTCTCTTCTATTCCATTGGTCTCTCTCTCTGTTTTGGTATCAGAACCATGCTGTTTTGATTACTCTAGCCTTGTAGTATTAGTTTGAAGTCAGGAAGCATGATGCCTCTAGCTTTTTGTTGTTACTGTTTGTATTTTTGCTTAGGATTGTCTTGGCTATGCAGGCTCTCTTTTGGTTACATATGAAGTTTAAGGTAGTTTTTTCCAATTTTGTGAAGACAGTCAATGGTAGCTTGATGGGTTAGCATTGAAAGTATCAATTATTTGGGGCAGTGTGGCCATTTTCACAATATTGATTCTTCCTAACCATGAGCATGGAATGTTTTTCCATCTGTTTGTTCTCTCTCTCATTTCTTTGAGCAATGGTTTGTAATTCTTCAAGAGGTCCTTTCTTCCCTTGTTAGATGTATTCCTAGATATTTTACTCTTTATAGTAATTGTGAATGGGAGTTTACTCATGATTTGTCTGTCTCCTGTTGGTGTACAGGAATGCTTGTGACTTCTGCACATTGATTTGTGTATTCTTAGACTTTGCTGAATCTGCTTATCAGCTTAAGGAGATTTTGGGCTGAGACAATGGGGTCTTCTAAATATACAATCATATCATCTGCAAATAGAGACAATTGGACTTCCTCTTTTCCTAGTTGAATACTCTTTATTTCTTTTTCTTGCCTGATTTCCCTGACCAGAACTTCTAATACTATGTTGAGTAGGAGTGGTGAGAGAGGGCATCCTTGTCTTGTGCCGGTTTTCAAAGGGAATGCTTTCAGTTTTTGCCTATACACTATGTTATTGACTGTGGGTTTATCATAAAGAAGCTCTTATCTTGAGATACCTTCCATTAATACCTAGTTTTGTGAGAGGTTTTAGCATAATAGACTTGAATTTTGTCAAAGGTATTCTCTCCATCTAGTGAGATAATCATGGTTTTTGTCTCAGTTCTGTTTATGTGATGGATTATGTTTATAGATTTACATATGTTGAACCAGCCTTGCATTTCGGGGATGAAGCTGACTTGATCATGATGGAGCTTCTTGATGTGCTGTTGGATTCAGTTTTCCAGTATTTTATTGAAGATTTTCCCATTAATGTTCATCATGGATATAGGCCTAAAATTTTCTTTTTCAGTTGTGTCTCTGCCAGGTTTTGGTATCACGATGATGTTGGTTTCATAAAATGAGTTAGGTAGGGTTCGCTCTTTTTGTATTGTTTTGAAGAGTTTCAGAAGGAATGGTACCAGCTCCTCTTTTTACCTATGGTAAAATTTGGCTGTGAACCTGTCTGGTCCTGGACTTTTGTTTGGTAGGCTATTAATTGCTGCCTCAATTTCAGACCTTGTTAATTCATTTGGTTCAGGGATTTAACTTCTTCCTGCTTTAGTCTTGGGGGGTGTACATGTCCAGGAATTTATCCGTATCATCGAGATTTACTGGTTTATTTGCAAGAAGTGTTTGTAGTATCTCTGATGGTAGTTTGTATTTCTGTGGCATCAGTGGTGAGATCCCCTTTATCACTTTTTATTGCATCTATTCTTCCTTTTCTTTATTAGTCTGACTAGTGGTCTATTTTGTTGATCCTTTCAAAAAACCACCTCCTGGATTCATTGATTTTTTTTTTAAGGGTTTTTTGTGTCTTATCTCCTTCAGTTCTGA